GGAGTGCTCCTTGGCAGTTGCAGATGCTGAGGGCACAGAAGTTCCAGATCCTAAAGAGGAAAATACCTGATGGAAGCTGGGTCGGGGAGGAGTCCGCTTGTTGAGGGGTACCGCAGAGGAGCTGGTGCGAGCGTCCGTCTGGGACCCACAAGGGAGATCCCACACCCTATTCCAGGTATCTGTTCACAGTACTACTACTACTACCATTGGTCTCTGGGACCAGATCGCAGTGATTTCGGCCTTAGCGGTTGCTAGGGGAGAAAGCTGTCCTCAGAAGATTCCAATGGCATCCTACAGATCCTAAACCCTCTCTCTCCTATTGATGTTGCAAATAAATACCCTAAAAAGACCCTAAGACTCGAGCCGTTCTGTCCGTGAGTGTCGGTGTGCTGTTGCTGATCAAAGGGGACTGGCAGCTGGAACCAACAGGTAGGAGAACCTATTTCAATATTCAGCGGCTCCTTCGGGGGTGAGCGCTACATTAGTTTCACCTTTTAAGTTGCATTAGTGAAATAAATGAACTTTTGCACGATATTCTAATTATTCGAGTTTCACCTGTATAGATGGAGCTCCATCACAGCATATCAGCCCACACTGGACCCCAGACTGAGGATCCACTCCAGTTCTCGTAAGGTAGGGAGACTGGGTGGAAAGGAAAAACATTTCGGAGTGTGTCTGTGTGTGTATGTCAGTGTTTTTGAGGGCCCGTTCACACTAGTATAGTGCGTTAATCACATAGTAGCATTGCCATTCATTTGAATGGTACCCTAAACGCACCTCCTACCCACAGTTGGTACGCCCGCACCGGAACGCACAGAACCCTAATGCCATGTGTTCCGTTGCAGTGCAGACATTGCAAACTTGGGTCGCCACTTAATGACCAAGGACAAATGCATGTCCTGAGGTTACGCAGGTTGAGAACCACTGGTGTAAGGGTTATGTTATGTAACATTTTACCCAGGTTGTGTTTTACTTGTAAAAAATGCACCAGTCCCCACCTCCTGTATAAAAAAAAATACTGACATTTTGGCATATGTGCAACTGATGTGACCCAGTGTGCCACCATTGCACATTCACAACCTGACAGATTTTCTGTACAATGCAACCATTGAGGCTGTTACTGCTTACCTCTACATCTGAACATGCTAGTTGTTTGGCTGTTTTTGTGATCCAGCGGCTTTAGTACTTTCTGAGAAATTGACCTAAAATAAGTATGTTGATCCAAATTGTTGACTTTCCAATCTACATGCTTGTTCCAGGTCAGTGACTGAGAAAGCAGTGCAGCCAGAGACAGCCAGGCAACTAGTGTTCTTAGAAGGTGGTCAGCAGTGGCTGCCCTTTATTTCTTTCCATATACCTTTAATGCTGGTGGTATGTGCACAGAACAATGCAGGACCTCTTGGTTGAAAAAGAGGTGAGTAGAGCAACTGGAGGAAGTAGGAAAGCTTGTAATACCTGTCTCCTAAAATAAAAGTGAAATGTAGTCACTATTTTTTGAATGAAAAAGATATCAGCTAAATGTTAATGTGATGTGCTTAAGTTTTTAAACACTTTTCAGTTTTATGTATGCCTAGAATTTCATATAAATACATGGAGGCTACCATGCATGGTATTGGTGCAAAATGTTCTGCCTTGTTCCTGCCCTTATTAGATTGCAGAACTAGAAGACATTCAGACTCTGTTTGCTAAGATAGATGAGTTATTTTAACTCTATTCGTTCATTTGGTAAAATAAAATGCAAGCTATAAATTCAGTTGATCCATGCAGTAATGCATTTGATGAATTGAAAAGTACATTTTATTTAAAAAAAAATATTGGATAGTAATAAAATTATTGCATGTGTCATGTTTTTGGGAAAATACTCTGGTCAAAAATAGACACCCTCGTGACTTGTGACCATATGATCTGGACTGCTTTGGTTTGAGATCACATGATGGAGCTTGGTAGCAACTCTTGACAACCTCCTGGCAAGGTATGGGCTAAATGAGAGGTTGTTGATGGGGAAAAAGAAGGTCTATAATGGTTGTATTGTCCAGGACAACCCAGTCATCCGAATCCGATGTGATATGTGCTTGAATAGTTATGTTTTACTTGCCGGTAAAACACCTGATAGTATGTGCAGCACTACAACCTGCTTACCATTGTTTGGTTACACAAGGCATCATCGCCTTTAGTAATCTAGCATAATGTCATGACAAATGCATCTCCTAAAAGTTTTGAGCTGTCTGTTAAAAAAGGGGAAATGGGTTGGCAACCCTGCATTTATAGAAGACTAGAGGTTCTTTGTCCTCAAAAAATTCTAATGTGATTTATGGCTTTCTAAATTGTTGGATATATAGAAGACATTGGAATTGTGTTTATGAATACCTCAGAATAGTATTGGTATTGAAAATGTTTGAAACAAAGGCATCACTGGTTTCAAAGCCATGCTGCATATTTGCCAGAAAGTACATAGAATGATTTACTGATAAGGCAAAAGCTTACATAGACAGGTCTTACTCTTTAAAGACTTTAATACTTCCAAGGAATAAGCTGCAAACTGTACAGAAGGACCACTGTGATAACAATGGTGCACGTCATGCACTCCTATATGCCTTCGCCACCTACTCTCCCTTTAAACAGTAAGAGCCATCTGTGTAAGGGTCATCATACACCACGGGTGGGCAAATCCATCCCGCTATCTTACTTTTAACTACAAATCCCCAAATCCATCTGCCTTTGAGAGTCATGCCTGTAACTGTCAGTCTTGCAGTGCCTCATGGGACTTGTAGTTCCACAACAGCTGGAGTTGCCCACCTCTGCCATACAAGTTACAATATGACTACAATCTTTGCTCAATCAACTTTAGTTTTACCAAAACTATGTAATATAATTATCTACCTTATATTTCCAATCAATTTGTGTCTAGTCAGGCAGGCCCTTATGCTATATAGTAGTTGGTATATCTAAAGGAGCTCCTCCATCACACTTGTTACTCTCCTCTTTTGACCCCGTCACCACAGAGGAGGTTACAAAGCTTCTCTCCGACACCCACCTCACCACTTGCCCCCTGGACCCTGTTCCCTCACCGCTACTTCGGTCACCCACTTGCTCTATCCTAGACTCTCTTGCTCACATTTTCAATCTCTCACTCTCTACTGGAATCTTTCCCTCCCCTCTGAAGCATGCCTTGGTCACCCCAATACCCCCAAAAACCCTCAATGGACCCTACCGACTAGGGATGTCCCGATACCTCTAGCATCGGAATCGGGCCCGATACAGGGCATTTTGACAAGTACTTGTACTTGTCAAAATGCCCCGATGCCTAGCGCCAAAGCTTGCACTGTTTTTTTTACCATGGGGTCCTTTTTACCATCCTCTGGGCAGGCTGGAGGAGCATCATGTCACTGCTGTAGGCGGCGCTCCAGGTGGGGTCCTAATGTGGTTGGCCAGCGACTGCCCAGAGGACTCCGCCTGTAGCTCCGCCCACAACAGTGACGCGACGCTCAGCCCCTCAGGGCCGCCGACGTCCTCGGGGGGAAAAAAAGCATTCGGCACCTCGTGAGGCACCTCCATTGGCAAGAGTGAGTAAGGGCCTGTGCTGAACACATGTATAATAGCAAAGAAGTCAGTAGTTGCAATGCTCACGATAAGGGGTCCTCACTGTCCCTATGTGTATGCACCATCCATGACCATGGGTATCAGTACTGTCAAGCACCCAGGGCACATGCCCACATCCCTGGGTGCTCAGGCTGCTTCCACCCACTGTTGATCTGTGGAAGTGGGTACAGATGAGAGCTGGAGTGAGGGGGGCAGAAGTGCTGAGAAGTAAAGAATTTGGGCTAAAATTATTAGTCTGTATGGTTTTTAAAAAAAATGTCACCTGTCCCTTTTAAGAAAAAGTATCGGTAATTGGTATCGGCAAGTACATGAGGGCCAGTACTTGTACTTGGTCTTAAAAAAGTGGCATCGGGACATCCCTACTACCGACCTCAATTATCTCAGACCAATCTCCTTACTCCCATTCACCTCCAAACTCCTAGAACGCCTCATCTACAGCCGCCTAAGTCGCCACCTCGCTGATCACAACTTTCTTGACCGCTTACAATCTGGCCCCCTACACTCCACTGAAACCGCTCTCCTAAAACTCCCTAATGACCTACTTACTGCTAAAAGCAAAAGGCCACTATTCCCTACTCTTGCTATTAGATCTTTCTGCTGCTTTTGACACTGTTGACCACCTGCTCCTCCTCAAAAAACTCCAGTCACTTGGGCTACAAGACTCTGCTCTCTCGTGGTTCTCCTCCTACCTATCTAAGCGCTCCTTTAGCGTCACCTACAAATCTAACGCCTCCCTTCTTCTTTCTGTAGGGGTCCCCCAAGGTTCTGTCCTTGGACCCCTTCTCTTCTCTATCTACACCACCTCTCTTGGTCAGTTAATAACCTCATATGGCTTCCAATACCATCTCTATGCCGATGACACTCAAATCTATCTTTCTACTCCACAACTCGCCCCCTCTGTGTCCTCTCGTGTCACTAATCTACTATCCGACATATCCGTCTGGATGTCGCAAATCCTCAGTGACAGGGCCCTCCTTACCATCTTGTCTTGATTTGTATTGTGATTGTAATGTCTTCCCTATATTGTAAAGCGCTGCGCAAACCGTTGGCGCTATATAAATCCTGTATAATAATAATAATAAAATCAGATTGTAATGTGTTTACCAAGTGTAAGCTTTTGCTTAGTGAAGGTTCTATTATTCTTTCGTAAATTAGCCCAAATGTCTTTAATTTTTAACCAGTAACGGTTTTCTTGTCTTGCTTTAAAAACTTTTTCTTCTCCATGCTCAGACTTCACAGAATGGCTGTTTCAGTTGAGCATATCATCACTGTCCCCTGCTGGGAACTACCAGCGAAGATGCAGTGCGCTGCTCAGCCTCTGTTCTCTGTTGGAATGCTGTACTGATTGCTGGAGCCCTGAGAAAAAGAAAGGGCAACCACCACGTAAGTGACTGTTGTGAGGGGAAAATTGTTTGATCATAGATATAAATAGGAAACTGTAATTATACTGTAATATTTCTGTATTGTATGTAATTTATTTTAGAACAGGCCTTTGTATGACTCCTATATGTGACGTTCCGAACCTAGTGGGTTTTAAAGCATCACATAGCCTTTCCTGCTGGAGAGGCAGTAGATTGTATTGTTTTGGCTTCATTAGTGCAGCACTAGTAGTCCTGGCCATTGTATGCCACAGAAAAAACCCTATGTACAAGCAGAGGAATGCCAGGCAATGTTGCTTGTATTGTAAATAAACTTCAAAATAGAGAATTGCGCTCCTTGTAAAATCCTACATAGTGCTACAGTAAAGTCACTGTTTCTGTGCCTGATGTTGGTTCCTCAACCTGTGTTAATGAGGCCTAGTAAAATAAAAATGTTCTTCTAACAGGCTTTTAGATTGTAAGTTCTTATAGGCAGGACCCTCCTAACCATTTTGTATTGAATTGTATTCTAACTGTAATGCCTGTAATGCCTTCTAACTGTAATCATAAAGTGCTGCACAAACTGTTGGTGCTATATAAATCCTTTATATAATAAAATTATAATACCAAGTTCTATAACCACAAATACTTTTTGCCGCTTTAAAACTTTTGCTTACATCCCTACCATGTCTTAACTGGTATTTTCCTTCTTATTTATTTATTTTTCTACTTTTATTTGTAATCTATGAATGGAGTTTTTTCATGCAATTTTCTAAAAATGGTTAGAATGCAGCCTTCATTAAGCATCCACTTTGTCCTTACAGAAGACTTGTCACTATTGCTACAGTATGCGCAGCAGAGAGGATGCTGGAATTTTCTGTCAGCACACAGCATGCACGCACTGTTGGGATGTATGCAGGACAGCACTAATGAGGTATCACCACGATGGTTTGTCCACTTATTCGGCAGAAATGAATTTTTTGTTATTTTCACGTTTGCTTACTTCAAAGAGAAAAAAAAATATATATATATATTTCAATCGTTTTTTTTTTTTTGGAAATTAACTTTCATACCAGATGCACATTTTTTTGCATAGCTTTTCTGGTTTTCTATAGAGAAGTACTAGCTGCCTCCTTTCTGACTGTTTCTGCCTAATTGAAACTTCTTACAGAGCCATATAAAGAACCGAGGGGGTGTCCCTCCATTGAAACACTCCAGCTATTCAGCTTGGCAAGTTCAAGCTTTTATCAGAAGATCTATGAGGTTGATCTCAGAAAATCCACTAGCATTTGCTGTCAGTAGGTCAGCAATGGCAGAAATGTAATTGAAGCCCAACTGAACTCTCAGCTTAAGTCAGCTTAATGGATTTCAGGTTCAGCAAAGTCTTACCATTCTTTTATTTAAAAAAGCAGCCGCATCCTTAGTAGAAAAGCTTGTCCCCTGCCAGCATGCTGTAGAGAAGGACCTCTGCATGGAAGCAGGGGTTTCTCTGCATAGGTCCAGCACAGCCACTACAGTCCGAGTATGAGCTTTCCAGTCAGCAGGAAAAATTACCTTTTGCTGATTACAACTCTAAAGGGATGCCTCTGCAGGGAGACTATTGCTTCCACACAGAGAGCAGTGATAGCAGGTGATAGGCATTTCTATCCGGCTGTGGCTACTCTCTAAACAAAACAAACTGTTAAACTTGCTATGCCTTTTATTTTGCTGCACCCGGAATGTATTTAGCTGATTAGACAAAGTACTAGTATTTTTCAACTAATACACAAGGGAATTTAAAAAAATGTTTTCATATGTGCCTGGAGTCCAGCTTTTATCGCATATTCTATCTTGCTTGCCACAGGGCAAAGATACAAAATTTATGTTTTTTTGCTCCTCCTTTTTTTTCATTAAAATACGATCGCAAATTTAAATACATCCTAGATACAGTACACCCCGTAAACTATCACTATTCTGGTATCCTTTTGATGCGACTGCATGATCTGCCCACTTGTAATAAAGAGCTTAAAATGTCTAATTATATTTCCAGCTTCATATTTTCATTTCCATCATTACTTCTATACAGATCAGAGAAATGGCAGCTGACTTGCTGGTTCGATTTTTCCTGCCTACACCAGCTTCAGTAACTATCTCACTGTTTGAGCTTGGCCAGAAATACCTTTGCAGCCCACGAGTACCCATGGCAGAAGCTGGTGCTCTTCTTATAAAGACATTGCTTCAGAGGTATTTAAGGAAAACAATAATTTTTTAATCTGACTTATTTTAATATTTTTTTTAAGTTTTTTTTTTTAATGTTTTATACACTGCCTGGGCAATGTTATGTCCCCAAAAAAGGAGGTCAGCTGCCTACCTGAATATACAGAATGATCAGGTTTTCCCATCAGTGGATTTTTTTCTTCCCTGATGACACGGGCATATTCCAAAATGATAATGCCATCTTGGAATATTCATCTGGCTCAAATTGTAAAAGAGTGATTCAGGGACCATGAGACATAATTTTCACTCATGGATTGGCCTCCACAGAGTCCAGATGCTAACCCCATTGAGAGTCTTTGGGGTGTGCGGTTAAGGACTTTATTCAGTGGTCTGACTCTCCCATCATCACTACAAGATCTTGGTGAAAAACTAATGCAACTCTGGCCAGAAATAAATGTTGTGACGTTGTATAAGCTTACTGAAACAATGTCATGGCGAATGTGTCCTGTAATCAAAGCTAAAGGCTGTCCAACGAAATGTAACTTTTTTTTTTTTTTTTTTGACCAGGCAGTGTATATAATTTTCTTTTTCACTATATTTATGCAATTGTTTTGAGCTACAAATAAACATTTAATGCACAACTAAGGGTTCCCAAAGCACCAGGGGACTGCTTGAGACAGCACAGAGGTAGCTGCCTGCCTTCAGGCTGCCTGTCTCTGATTTGATACCTCAGATTTACCCATCAGAAAGAGTTACTCTTTCGACTCATTCACTTGTGTGTGTGTGTGTGTGTGTAAATTTGAGCTTTAGCTATTGAGCTCTATAAATATACTGTTTATACCAGATTGTGATCAGAAACTTAAAATCCAAAAAATGACTAAATCTCCATCTGCTGGCCAGATAAATTATGATTTAATATTTAATTTTTACCTGACGTCATTTTTTCCCCCTGACAATAATAAATAAAATGTATGTATACCAAACCACTATACAGAAGTATAGGAAAGTGCATGCAGGAATATAGTTACAGGGCTGCAGTATGTCATTGAACTGACATTGCGTAGAACTGATCTTGGCTTATGGACTATAAAGTCCAGTTCAGTACACAGTGGTGTCTCTCCTGCACTGATGTTAATATATTTGAATATGTGACATTAGGTGCAGAAAACATCCATATGTTAATGTCATTTTCTTTCTGTTCTTGTTCAGGCCAGATGCATCTTTGCTACTGTCAGAGCATGTACCCCTATCTGCACTGGGGCTGGTGATGCATCTTACCAAGATGCTTCAGAATCACTACTGTTGTGCTCAGGGAAACCTATTGGGAGCAGCAAGTGCAAAGCCCATGCAAGGTGAGCCCTGGTGTTTACTATCTCAGAACTTTGGAATTAAAGCTGAATTACAGGCAAATGTTAAGAAAACACTATTTGGTATGTTTATGCACGGAAACAAATAAATATATAATTGAAGATATATATATATCTATCTATCTATCTATCTATCTATATATAGTATATTATTTTATACATATTTACAATAATATATACAGTATCTCACAGAAGTGAGTACACCCCTCCACATTTTTGTAAATATTTTATTATTTCATGTGACGACACAGAAGAAATGACACTTTGCTACAATGTAAAGTAGTGAGTGTACAGCTTGTATATCAGTGTACATTTGCTGCCCCCCCCCAAAATAACTCAACACACAGCTATTAATGTCTAAACCGCTGGCAACAAAAGTTAGTACACCCCTAAGTGAAAATGTCCAAATTTGGCCCAATTGGCCATTTTCCCTCCCCGGTGTCATGTGACTCATTAGTGTTACAAGGTCTCATGTGTGAATGGGGAGCTGGTGTTTTAAATTTGGTGTTATCGCTCTCATACTGGTCACTGGAAGTTCACCATGGCACCTCATGGCAAAGAACTCTCTGCGGATCTGATAAAAATAATTGTTGCTCTACATAAAGATGGCCTAGGGCTATAAGAAGATTGTCAAGACCCTGAAACTGAGCTGCAGCATGGTGGCCAAGACCATACAGCGGTGTAACAGGACAGGTTCCACTCAGAACAGGCCTCGTCATGGTCGACCAAAGAAGTTGAGTACACATAATAATATATGATATTTTTCACAATCCTCTGCACAGCAGCTATCAAGTGCTGTGTGCTGATCCAGGGCACTCTGTTTTCATTTTTTTGTTTAGTTATATGGCCTATGGATATATTCAGAGCTTGCTGGGATAAGCAGTTTTTGCATAGGTAGCAGTAACACGCAGAGCATTTGAAGATTTTCCAATCACTCTTTCCCTAGTACGTTGACTTTTTTATATTAAAATGTCTCTATTTACTTAGTAAATGCTCACTCCACGCATTTACTAAGTAAATAGGGAAATTTATATAACTTGGCATGCTGTGCCAAAAGAATGAAAAAATAAAAATGGTACAAAAAAGAATGCATAGCATAGTCATTTTGACAGCCAATAATTGTTTTTAATAGGGATGCACCAATATATCGGCTGCTGAAACATATCGGCCGAAAATTGCACTTTTGGCATAATGCCGAAAGTGCAATTTTCCTGCCGATACATCGGCGCCTCCGTGATTTCTTTCCTTCTGATCTGTGTCCCAGCGGGGAGGAGAGAAAGTGACGGCCGAGCGCTGCGGGAAAAGAGCGCTGTGAGCGGCCGGTGTCTCTCCTCCCACACCGCTCGTCCGCCTATCACAGTGCGGCAGAGCGGTGTGGGGGGTGGAGACAGCGCTGTCACAGGAGGCTGGGCTCTCCTCTCGCACCGCTCACTCAGCCTCCTGTGACAGTGTGTGTCAGAGAGGAGATCAGGCTACATACACTCAGTGATCGCTGAGTGTATTGTACATAATTGAGGATATGGTATGGTTAATATATCCTCAATTATGAATGAATGGGAGTGATCTATATCCCCTCCTGTTCATTCATAATTGTAGTTACAGTAAACATACCATGTCCTCATGTTATCAATGAACAGGAACACTCACAGAGAATTCCTGTTTATTGATAACGGGGGACACAGAAAAAGAGATTGAGGGCTCTGTGTTCTCAATCTCTTTTTCGATTTTAAAAGGGAAATATCAGGGGTCTGTTTAGATCCCTAATATTTCCCCGAAGCCCCTAAAAGTAAAGTAAAAAATGAAAATATTTAATACAAAATGAATAAATTAAAACGTTTATAAAAAATAAATTAAAATTAAATATTTTAGAAAATTAAAATAAAAACATTTTCGGTTTCGGCCTGACAATTTTTTTTTCTATTTCAGTTTTGGTTTTTAAATTTCTATTTCGGTGCACCTCCTAGTTTTTAATAATGGCGGTAGGGGAAGAAAAGCAGAGAGGTAGGAGATCACAGCCCAGAAACTTGGTTAAAGTTTTCAGGACGTATCTAATGTTTGATGTCCGAAGTGGTTAAATCAAATAAAATTGCAATGGCAAGGTGTACCAACCCTAACGTGCATGAATAGACTAAAGCAAATTTGAATTACTGATAAAATGCATGGGAAAAACCAGCAACATTATCATATTCGGTTTCAAATTTTTTTGATCAAATCAAAAATGTTCTAATTGTTATTTATGTAGTAAATGGGGTTAATATGTCATTCAACCAAGCTAAATATACATAGTCTCCCATAACCACATCCTCATATGAATGATGATTGTAAACAGATACAAGAAGGTGGCTAAAATGAAAATGATCTTGGTCTGATGTAATATATTGCTTTCAAATTTGATGTCACCAACATGTACGACATTACTTAGAAGACATAGTGAATGACTATGGCTATTTCTTCTGCCCATAGGAGTGCTCTGTGCTTTGCGGTTATGTCTACTGGAGGTTCCTTCTGTATCATTGTCCCTCTCCCAGGCTGAGCTTGCCTCTACTTGGTGCAGTCTACTTCTGGAATTGTTGGGTTTATTACAGGAGATTACATCTTTCATCCTGGGCATGCTGCACAAACGTTGGACGGATGAGCCAACAGGTGAGTTATCTAAATGTCTAATTTTCTTCTTCCAGATATGTTACATTTTTAGACTCTGCCCTGTGAGAATCATGGAGGCTCCCTACTAAAATCTTATGAGAATGCTGGTTTCCTGACTGTCATGCATATGGCTATGGCTTCAGTGCTTTCTGAGTCACTGACCAGGAACGAGTATTGAGATCTGGGTCTGCGACTCAAAAGTACATTAGTTAGCTAGGCAACTATCATATTCTTCAAGAGGCCAATGGTGGCATTACTCGTATTTCCCTTGTGACAGTGTAAATTTCAAGGAACAAATCTCCTGTTTTATAGAGGCAGCGATTTGTCAACTTCTGTGGTACATAATAGAAATGAAAAAACTCCTTTTATTCAAAACATTTACTCACATAAAGAAAATTGACATAAAACTTCAAGTAAGATCGACATGTGGAGCCACAGATGATGTCAACTGTGACGTAACACGTAGGAGGGAGTCTCGCAGACGTGGATTGGAGATTGCATGGTTAGCAGTAGTGATGGGTTCCGGCGTGTGACGAGCCCGCCTGGAAGCTGGCAGCGCCAATCACAGGCACTGAGACATTTCCCGATCTATGCAGCTGCGAACCGGGAAAATGTCTCAGTACCTGTAATTGGCGCTGTCAGCTTTCTGGCGGGCTCGGCACGCCCGAGCCCACACTAGTCAGCAGCACAGCTCCTGTTTGACCCATTTTTGCACCTAGAGAATACAGTGACACGGAGAGAGAGGTGTCAGGCATACATCTTGCAGTTTTATGTCAACTTTCCTTATGTGAGGTTTTTTTTTTTTTTTTAATGGTTTTACGGTATGGGCTGTTTTTATATTTTATTGGATATGGTCATGATGACATGCTGACGTAATTTTCTGTGTAACGATTGTGGAGATACGGTCTTTGAATAAAATCGGTTGGAGATCCTATAAAGCGATTTTAGACCTGCTTAGGCCTACTTATAAGGTGAGCGGTCCACTAAGAAGGGTGAGCACCTGGGTGATAATTGGGATTGGTGTATGGACCTTGTATAAAGAACTTTCACTGTGGAAGGATAAAGAGTGTGGTGCACGTGGGACAAATGTTGAGCACTTTATACGTGTGAATCCACGTTTGTGCACATGTGAACACGGAATATAAGATTGAACTTTCCAGGGGGAAATTTATCATGAAGGATTGATATTTACAAGAAAACCAATTGTGACCACTTTGATTGCATGTATTGTTTAGCACATATTTATTATAGAGATTTGTTTATTTATATGATTGTTCTAGTTGAAGCGCAGCACATTCATTATTATAATTTACTATTCTGACGAGCACTGTGCACAGGAAGCATTTACAAAGCATTTGCAAATGCAGAGCTTAAAGCCTTGACACCCATTTGCTTCAGTAATGGGATACTAACAAATATCTTAATGAGAGTTCTGGCTGTCACGTTAAACAAGCTGTTTGCATGTTTTCACCCATTCTTTAGCACTACTTGAAGCTCGTTTTAAAACCTGTTTTTTTAAATCTGTTTTAGGCAGCATCCCCTTTTAATGAGTGTATTACATCCCCAAACTATAGATAAAGGTTGTGCTAAAGACCTCATTAAAGATGCTCGAAGCTTACTGCATACACTTTTTTTTACAGAATTTTTTCGGAGAGGTATTTATCCAAGCTGTGGGAAAGCTTAGTGTCTTGAGTATTTGCTTTTAAGGCCCTAAAGGGACCTAGATTGTAAGCAGGACGTGCACATGTGGCAGGCTGTGGTGCTGCTCTTTTGTTATAGATGATACTAGATGGGCTGGGTTAGCCCCTGGCATCTCAGGTATTCAAATTGTGACATCTCCCTGGCTTAAGACCTGACTTTGCTCCTTTCTATCTGTGTGCGTTCCAAGACCCATTGTTTCATTGTTCCTAATAACAAATGGAAAAATCCAGCAGGGAGTGTGGTACCACCTTTTGATGGACACAGTTGGTGTACATAATCAGGAACCCAAGCACAAAGATCTCACCAGTAGATTCCCCTAGAGTTGAAGGCATTGTCAGGTGGTGTGCAAAATCCAGCCATTCACTCTTTGAAAAGCTCTCTTTATTCTTTAGTTCTATAGTAAATAGTGGTGTTACAATTATTGATTTTTTTTATTCAGAGAATAAAAATATATGCAAAGTTGCATACAGTTGGCCATACTGCACCCGTGTGGTCAGAAATGGAGATGAAATGACTAGTGTAGTAACTTTAAACCAGTGCTTCCTTGCCACTCAGGTATAGCTGCTCCTTCGTTGGAAGATATGGGAAATGCCGTCCGTGCCCTGATTGCACATGGGAAAGGTCAGGAGGAAGTACAAGGAGATATTCTTCTTTCAGAGGAACACAGCCTCATCATGACTTGCTTCTGGGTCTCATTAAAGGTAAGAAGCCCAGGAAGAGTTATAACCTTATTTGAACCAAATGGCAAAACCTAGATCTGTTCATCATTCCTTTAACTTTGTTTTAATCTAACAGGAGATTGGAATGTTTCTTGGGCCTCTAGTGGAGAAACTGATCTCTGGTTCTGCTCCTTCGATCCCCTTCTCTGCAGTACAGAGCTCTATGGCTGCATATCATGATATATTCATAAAATGTCGGCACTGGGTAGGTATACAAACCTATATGGTGCAGAAGGTCATGATCAATTATTGATGGAATGTTGATTAAGATGGTGCATTGTAAAGGGGTTGTAAGGTTTCATAATTCTGAGTTCCCAACCTATCCTTTCCAGTAGAGTAAGTGACAAATATGAATTTTAACAAATCACACGCTCCAGTAATTTTGTTACCGTTTATTTGTAACAGTGGTTCTAGAAATAAAACACTAAGTTGCTGCATGATTATTAGGATTAATCCAGGACATTAAACATTTCAAATTATTCCCCTTAAATACATTTGGGATGCTTTTAAGTCCTGGTAGTTCTGGAGTTGGTCCTTTAAAATTAAGGCATCTCAAAATTTCTAGTTGTGCATACTGATGAGCAAACCACATCACGCATTGCTCATGTCTTTTTGGGTCTGATATGTTCTTTGTGTATCCTGCAGGGGGCTGTAGATGGCTGCAGTGCAGGATTTACTAAACTTTGCTCTGCATTGCTTCGTCATAAAGACCCGAAGTTGAGAGATCTGCCAAAGGAGATGATGGAACAGGTATGTTGCAAACTGTCCATCAATATAAAGCTAATCTTGCTTTTAAATGTTTTATTCAGAAGAAGCAAAAACAAAACCTGGAGGATTAGAAACTATCTGCTTAGTTGTAGAATACATTCTCTTAATTGGATTAGTGTCTAGTTGGGCAATATTTTATTCAATTGCTATATTATACCAGAGGTAGGCAACACTGACACTCCAGCTGTTCTGGAACTACAAATCTCAGGAGGCACTGAAAGTCTGACAACCACCGGTATGGCCCCAGAAGCCAAAGCATGATGGCATTTGTAGCTACACCACAGCTGGAGTTCCCCGGTTGCCTTGCTTGGTGAATTGCATTATATATTCACTCTTAAAATACACAACACTTGTGATGATGGCTAAAGCTATATTCTTTCAGCCAAAGTTGATGTGACTTTGTCATGTTTATTTTCATTAGGTGGGGAATGATTACTAGTTGCTGGTATTGTTGTATTATAATTCATGAAGGCTTCAAACTCCAAATCAAGCCAAATGCAGTACCGTATTTTTCCGTGTATAAGACGCTACTTTTTCATAAAAATCTTTATCTAAAAATAGAGCTGCGTCTTATACATGGGGGCCGCGGTTTTGAAAGTGCTGATACCACTGAAAACTATCCTCATGGAGTGCAGAGACAAGATAACAGTTCTCCTCCAGTCATAAATCTTTTGAACCTGACGTGAGCTGTTGCTGGGGAGATCGTGTAGGCAGTGCCCAGAGCGGTAACGTCAGAGCATTCTGTGACCATAAAAATGTCAGAAAGTGAAGAACAACCTGTAAACTCTCTAAACTCATGGTATGGTGTCAAACAAGAGGTGATTGTGAAGTCCTTCAAGAAATGTGGAATCAGCAAAGCCATGGACGGAACTGAGGATGATCTTGTATATATAGACAGTGACTCAGCAGACAGCAGTGATGCAGCAGAAGTTGAAGACACTGATATGTTTGAAGCTAAAAGTGATGACGAAACCAGTGATGCAACAGAGGCTGAATAAAGTGATTGGCTCAGAGGTAAGTGTGATGCATAATATCATTGAAAATATTGATTTCTGAATTTTGGGTAAGAAAAGTTGGGGGCGTCTTATAGACGGAAAAATACGGTACTTTACAGGTCCTTCTGACTTTTGACTTTGCTTTGAGCTGCTTACAGAGTTTGCTTCAAACTAATTCTGGGTTGTGACTGGGTGCTTTGAGTTGCTTTGCATTAACATTGACTTGTATAGGGAAGAAAAGCAACTCGGGTACAACCAAAAATCACTGTACATGATCCAATTGGAGTACCACCAAATGTATCTTTTAAATGACGTGATCTGTATTTTACAGGCATTGCTTGTGGTCCAGTCTCGGACCTCCCTTTCTGTCACTCGCAGAGCTGCTGGTTTCCCTCTTCTCTTGCAGTGTATCCTATCAGCAGAGGGATCACAACACCCACTGCTTGAAAGTTGTGTATTGTCGTTACTAACATTGGCTAAAAAGCCACTTCCCACCAACTGGGACCAAACACGAGACCTGCCCCAGGTGAGAGAACCATAGAACGCACATAGAATCACAGTGTAAAGTAATAGAGAATGGAGCTTAGAAGGAAATGTTTGTATTATTCTGTATGCTCTGTTTAAGGTTACAGCAGTTCACGCACTACAGAGCATGCTGCGCTCAGCCAGCCTTCGTTCCACATTGCTCAACCATGCCGTTCCCATGATGTCTCTGGCACTCATCAGTCTGAGTTCCCCATGCTGGGCTATGCGTAATGCTGCGTTGCAGCTTTTCAGTAAGTTGTGTAATTTCTATTCTCCATGTCATGTTAGTGTAAATGAATGGTACTAACAATATAAATATATTCCTGTTTTATCCAGCTGCTCTCACAGTTGGCATGCTAGAGTTATCGCGCAGTGATACGGATAGCAATTTGCAGAGCACACTGCATGTCGGAGCTTTGCTACGGAGATTTCCAGGCCTGCTGGATGTTCTGTTACGGGAACTACACATGGCTAGAAATAGAAAGAAAATGCTGCACCCCAGTCTACATCCTATCCTCACCCTTCTTGCCAAGCTACAACCTGGAGAAGACACTGATGCCAGGTTCTTATTTATTTCCTGTATATACTGTCTGAATGCTGAATGAAGAATCTAGATCAAGGGTCTCAAACTCGATTCCCTCGGGGGCCACTAGACAAATTTTTTTCTCCCATGGGTGCCGCTCGACAAATTTCAAACTTTAAAATAAAATTTAACTATATTCGGTATGGTACTACGGACCCCAATACACACACAATAAGGCACCATTTATATCTGTAGGTTTAGGTGCGATTAGGGATTCTTGCGTCAGAAACTTGCGTTTTCCTGCAGCAGGAATCCGCTGTCACCCATTCAAGTTAATGATCAGTTGCATGTAAACTCCTGCACACCGCATGAAATGTGATATTATTACATGCGGTTAGAAAACACTCTCCCTGAATGCACAATCATTGCGTCCAGTGAGAGTGACTGATTCCTAACCAAACGTAATAATATCACATATCATTACATGCGGTGTGCAACTGCTGTCACCTGATCATTAACTTGAATGGGTGACAGCGCCCGCATGTAAACGCCAGATTAGGTATTCCGGATGCAGGAAACGCATGTTCCCCTGATGCAGGAATCCCTAATTGCACCTAAAGATACAGGTGTGAATGGAGCCTAATACACTTTCTCTCTCTCTCTCTCTCTCTCAACCTTACTAATCTAATCCTTTCGGCCAGCGTCTAGCGAAGACGCCGGCCGAAAGGATCCGAGTGCCGGCACAGAAGCAGCAATGCGGTCTGCAGAGATGCAAACCGTGTAGCTGCTCCCGCAAGTCTGGTACGCGGTCCGTGACCGTGTACCAGACTTGTAAGCTGGCTACGGGCCACATGGTACAGGATCACGGGCCGCAACTGGCCCACGGGTCGGTACATTGAGACTACTGATCTAGATGAAGTTGTTTGGTTTTTTTAACTACTTATGCTTGGCCACAGATCAGCAGATGGCTCACCTAGAATGAAATGCTAGGCATGGTGACTTGAGCCTCCTCCCCCCGCCCCCCATAATTACACTTAACAGCCTATTTAGTAGAGCATTATTGATTAAAATCTGTATCCTTGTTATCATGTGCTATGATTATAACAGATTATTTGTTGTTAGTTGTCTGATAGGGCCTTTGTTGGAGCTGAGAGAAAACCCTATCTATGCAGTGCGTATCATTGCTGCTCGAGCTCTTGTGCCTGTTGTACAGCAGAAGGATTGTTGGAACTTACTTCTTCAGCTGATACTCGATCTTCCACGGCGAAATGAAGGAGTGTCTCACAACGCGTTACATGGACAATTGCAGAACATTTATGCTCTGCTGTCTTCAGTTCCAAAGGGAAACTTGTAAGTGTACACTAACAGGGTGCAACTATATTGGATATTTTGCCACATATCTATTGTTGTCCTCCTGTGACCCAAAACTCTGCATATAGCAGGCTATCGCCCAATATATGCTGACTGCGCTACAGCTGGGATGGATTCCGACAATATTGATTTGACAGCTGGCTCTGCCTTTCTAGAGCCAGTACCAGCTGTGCCCGGCCCCTCCCCTGTTCATTCCTCCAGTCAGCGCTGAAAACATGGACAGGGGAGGGGGAAATCCCTGCGGGGAACGGTGACTGAGAGTCACCACTCTCTGCAGGGAGAAGATCATGAACTGAGTGATCAGTGGTATGTGATCGCTCAGTTCTCAATCTATAGAGCCGATGTGTGACATTGAAGGTGTGTATTTCACTCTCCCCATAATTCTCCTTTTAATGTGGACCAGGCTTTTTAATCACTGCCAGCTTTTTACTATTGTCTCCAGTGGGAAGGTTTCCCCTCTCTTCCTGTCCCACTGCCAGAAGTGAAGAATCTTTTTCCATGAGTGCCCACACATCAATAAATAACTTTGGGTAGACAGAGGTGGGTCCAAAATGCCTGAGTTCGGCAGCTCTTCTCAAAGCATGTAATAGAACAAGCAGGAGCATTCAAACACATCAGTAGTCCAGAACTGTATTTTATTAATCCACAGATATCACAAAAAAGAAAAACATCCAGTGCGTATTCGGGGGCCAAACAATCCACCTTCCTTTATCAGGGCTTGTAAGGCTACATTTCATCACATCTGATAGAGCATACAAGCTAGCACTCATTGGAGGGTTTTGGTCATGCTGTGTCCACTTTACCTATTTTTAATGCTTTCCATACACTACCTGGTTTTCTGTAAGAAACAGAGCAAATTTGATTGCTTTTTTCAGAAGCTTATAAGGTATGAGAAATAAATGTGCATTCAGAGGTGTCAAAGTCTATGTGCATCAGTCTTGGGAATCTTCCAAGAGTCATTTCTGTCATCTAAATTTACAATCTGTGTGGAGATCAGGCTGGAAAAAAGAGGCAATGGTTAGGCTGGGTGCTCAGCAAATGTTTGGAGGCCAAGGAAATATCCCTTATTTTTTTGAAGGTGGATACAACATATATATCTAGATCTCCACTGTATTGAGTAGTCTTGGTAGGATATGAAATATAATTTATTTTCCTTTTCATTCAGTATTTTAGAAGATGCTAGGCAGGAAGTGTCCCAGCACCTTCTTTCAGTGTTCTGGCTGATGTCGCCAATTCAGAAGTGCCCACTTATACGGCATGTTTTCCTGGATGTTCTGACACTGTTGTCACCTCATTGTGGAGAGGATTTTGCCAGGCAAGTTCAGGTGGCTGTCTGTAAGGAGTTGAGTGCAAAGGAGCCATTCACACAGGTGAGAGCATTTTATAAGGAATTTATTTTTTATGGTTTAGGCTTTTTTTAATTTATTTTATTTTTTTGAGGCAGACTGATAGTCTAATCCATAAAGCTGCGATCATGTTTTACTTAATAGGTGGGAGCTCAGACTTACCATGAAGCATGCGTGCGGTACCTCTGCAATGAAGCTTCTAGTCCCTCAGGCCTCGAAGCCTCCCGATTTGTGTGCCAACTTCTGCTGGATGGAGACACAGTTGTGCTCAAGTGGCTGATTGATCAGCAGTTAGGAGATATTCCCACTGCGCTGGGCCATTCCCTTGTGGACATATTGCAGGTACGAAAAAGAAAAAAAGTGTTAATATGTTTCTCTAACCTCTTTGCCTGTCAGCATTGTTACATTGCGGCACAATGTTAGTTGCCAGAAGTTACACACTTCCCTGCAAGTCTCTTGAGTAGAGCAAAGAAGGGGTAGGTGGTTTTTTTGTGCTGTCTTTGTCCCTGTTTGGGAGATATCTTCTTCTTTCATGTTCTGGTAAAACCCATTCCCAGAACAGGCTGAAAGGGCTAAGTTCCGCAAAGGTGTCAAAGGAAGGAAGTCCAGAAGTTCTAACTCTACCCCATGCTACATAAAACAAATTGTCTGTGTCCTTTTGGAGAGATTGCCCCAATGAATACCGACACTGACACGGAAATGTGCAACCCAAATTCTATCCCTTTCACTGAGTTGTGCTTACATCTCCTTTGCCCCTAGACAGTACAACTGAGAGTGCGGACAAAGTGCATGTAATTGGGTTGGACATTTTGAAGGCCAACCCCAATCAAAATACAAATCGCCACAGTTGGAACTTCACCAGAGGTAGTGAATCAGTTGCAAAGAGGGCACATTCCTAAATCCCAGGATTTTTTGGATGGATAAGAAGACCCTCCCTTAGTTAAAATTGCATTGTGTATAATCATGATGTACTGTGTCGGGCCCCTTGTATTAAGTCCTCTTTTGTTGGTGTGTCAACCTTATCATCTGAGAATATTTTACACAGAATTATACCAGCATTTATATATAGCATTTTTTACATAGATGCATAAGGCAGACCTAAAAAATGTATAATTATGGATACATTTGGGTAAAAATAGTTTAAAATCTGCAGTATACCTAATATGCTGTGAACAGTCTCACTCGTTTCTTGACCCAGATCTCCCTCCCTCTGCTCCCGGACTCTGATAGGGATTTTCTGGACCGCTGGCTTTCCCAATTGCAATGCCACTGGGGTTGATGGATTGCCTATTGAAGACTACAAGCAGTATGGTTCTGTATTACTTCTGACCAGAGGCGGCTCTAGAGTTTGCGAGGCCTTAGGCGAAACCTAAACATGAGGCCCCCATTTTGGCCTGTGGGGTCTCACCAGGGCTCTGTGGGGTTTATCCAGGCTGGTGAGACCCCCACAGAGCCCTGGTGAGACCCCCACAGAGCCCTGGTGAGACCCCCACAGAGCCCTGGTGAGATCCCACAGAGCCCTGTTTAAAGTATGGCTCTGTGGGGTCTCAACAGGGCTCTGTGGTGTATCGCCAGCTCTGGTGAGACCCCACAGAGCCCTGGTGAGACCTTGCAAAGCCCGGCTATAACCAGGTCTCTGTAGGGTCTCACCAGGTCTCTGTAGGGTCTCACCAGGGCTCTGAGGGGTCTCACCAGGCTGGTGAAATCGCACATAGCCCTGGTGGGACCCCATAGAGCCCTGGTTTAACCAGGGCTCTGTGGGGGTCTCACCAGGGCTCTGAGGGGTCTCACCAGGCTGGTGAAATCGCACATAGCCCTGGTGGGACCCCATAGAGCCCTGGTTTAACCAGGGCTCTGTGGGGGTCTCACCAGGGCTCTGAGGGGTCTCACCAGGCTGGTGAGACCCCTCAGGGCCCTGGTGAGACCCCACAGAGCCCTGGTTAAACCAGGCTCAGTGGGGTCTCACCAAGGCTTTGAGGGGGCCTCACCAAGGTAGCAGGGTTCTGTGAGGTCTCACCAGGGCGCTGTGGGGTCTAACCAGCCTTGTAAAGACTCCACAGAGCCCTAGTGAGACCCCAGAGAGCCCTGGTCTCACCAAGGCTCTCTGGGGACTCACAAGGTCTCTGAGGGGGTCTCACCAGGGTAGCAGAGTGCTGTGGGGTCTCACCAGGGCTCTGTGGGGGTCTAACCAGCCTTGTTAGACCCCACAGACAGCTGGTGAGACCCCACAGAGCCCTGGTTAAACCAGGGCTCTCTAAGGTCTCCACAGGGTTCTCACCATTTCTGTAGCTTGTGAAGGCTGCCTCTCGCCAGGACTGTGCAGGGAGCGTCTCGCGGGCGGGAACGTGCAGGACCAGCCGTTGCTGACTACGTCTCTGACGATCCGCCCTCCCAGCCCGATTGAACTCCGCCCCCCCAGCCAGATTGAACTCCGTCCCTCCCAGCCAGATTGACCTCCGCCCTCCCAGCCAGCTTGAACTCCGCCCTCCCCGCCAGACTGAACTCCGCCCTCCCAGCCCGATTGAACTCCGCCCCCCCAGCCAGATTGAACTCCGTCCCTCCCAGCCAGATTGACCTCCGCCCTCCCAGCCAGCTTGAACTCCGCCCTCCCCGCCAGACTGAACTCCGCCCTCCCAGCCCGATTGAACTCCGCCCCCCCAGCCAGATTGAACTCCGTCCCTCCCAGCCAGATTGACCTCCGCCCTCCCAGCCAGCTTGAACTCCGCCCTCCCCGCCAGACTGAACTCCGCCCTCCCAGCCCGATTGAACTCCGCCCCCCCAGCCAGATTGAACTCCGTCCCTCCCAGCCAGATTGACCTCCGCCCTCCCAGCCAGCTTGAACTCCGCCCTCCCCGCCAGACTGAACTCCGCCCTCCCAGCCCGATTGAACTCCGCCCCCCCAGCCAGATTGAACTCCGTCCCTCCCAGCCAGATTGACCTCCGCCCTCCCAGCCAGCTTGAACTCCGCCCTCCCCGCCAGACTGAACTCCGCCCTCCCAGCCCGATTGAACTCCGCCCCCCCAGCCAGATTGAACTCCGTCCCTCCCAGCCAGATTGACCTCCGCCCTCCCAGCCAGCTTGAACTCCGCCCTCCCCGCCAGACTGAACTCCGCCCTCCCAGCCCGATTGAACTCCGCCCCCCCAGCCAGATTGAACTCCGTCCCTCCCAGCCAGATTGACCTCCGCCCTCCCAGCCAGCTTGAACTCCGCCCTCCCCGCCAGACTGAACTCCGCCCTCCCAGCCCGATTGAACTCCGCCCCCCCAGCCAGATTGAACTCCGTCCCTCCCAGCCAGATTGACCTCCGCCCTCCCAGCCAGCTTGAACTCCGCCCTCCCCGCCAGACTGAACTCCGCCCTCCCAGCCCGATTGAACTCCGCCCCCCCAGCCAGATTGAACTCCGTCCCTCCCAGCCAGATTGACCTCCGCCCTCCCAGCCAGCTTGAACTCCGCCCTCCCCGCCAGACTGAACTCCGCCCTCCCAGCCCGATTGAACTCCGCCCCCCCAGCCAGATTGAACTCCGTCCCTCCCAGCCAGATTGACCTCCGCCCTCCCAGCCAGCTTGAACTCCGCCCTCCCCGCCAGACTGAACTCCGCCCTCCCAGCCCGATTGAACTCCGCCCCCCCAGCCAGATTGAACTCCGTCCCTCCCAGCCAGATTGACCTCCGCCCTCCCAGCCAGCTTGAACTCCGCCCTCCCCGCCAGACTGAACTCCGCCCTCCCAGCCCGATTGAACTCCGCCCCCCCAGCCAGATTGAACTCCGTCCCTCCCAGCCAGATTGACCTCCGCCCTCCCAGCCAGCTTGAACTCCGCCCTCCCCGCCAGACTGAACTCCGCCCTCCCAGCCCGATTGAACTCCGCCCCCCCAGCCAGATTGAACTCCGTCCCTCCCAGCCAGATTGACCTCCGCCCTCCCAGCCAGCTTGAACTCCGCCCTCCCCGCCAGACTGAACTCCGCCCTCCCAGCCCGATTGAACTCCGCCCCCCCAGCCAGATTGAACTCCGTCCCTCCCAGCCAGATTGACCTCCGCCCTCCCAGCCAGCTTGAACTCCGCCCTCCCCGCCAGACTGAACTCCGCCCTCCCAGCCCGATTGAACTCCGCCCCCCCAGCCAGATTGAACTCCGTCCCTCCCAGCCAGATTGACCTCCGCCCTCCCAGCCAGCTTGAACTCCGCCCTCCCCGCCAGACTGAACTCCGCCCTCCCAGCCCGATTGAACTCCGCCCCCCCAGCCAGATTGAACTCCGTCCCTCCCAGCCAGATTGACCTCCGCCCTCCCAGCCAGCTTGAACTCCGCCCTCCCCGCCAGACTGAACTCCGCCCTCCCAGCCCGATTGAACTCCGCCCCCCCAGCCAGATTGAACTCCGTCCCTCCCAGCCAGATTGACCTCCGCCCTCCCAGCCAGCTTGAACTCCGCCCTCCCCGCCAGACTGAACTCCGCCCTCCCAGCCCGATTGAACTCCGCCCCCCCAGCCAGATTGAACTCCGTCCCTCCCAGCCAGATTGACCTCCGCCCTCCCAGCCAGCTTGAACTCCGCCCTCCCCGCCAGACTGAACTCCGCCCTCCCAGCCAGATTGAACTCCGCCCTCCCAGCCAGATTGGGATCCTCGCGCAGTGGATGGGAGGGGTGAGATCGATTCCTATTGGCTGATGGGCGGAGTTCCAGAAGTCCACCAGCCGAATGGACGGACTGAGGAAACGGATGAGCTCTCAACCCTGTCGCTGTCAAACTCAGTTTGACAGCGACAGGGCTGAGAGCTCATAACGTTACCTGGCTGCAAGGTAATATGCCGGTAGGGCAAATTAGGCGGCCGCAAGGCCTAAGTAAGGCGACCGCCTAATAATAAAAGAGCCGTCTCTGCTTCTGACTCGTCTGACTACCCTAAATGATTCCTTTACTGCTGGTCAGCTACCGCCATTTATGTACCAGATATTGTACTGATTCCGAAACAAGATAAGGATGCTCTGTTTCCAGATTCATGCAGACCTATATCCTTGTTGTCTACAAACGTGGAAATCCTGGCTAAAGTATTAGCCAACAGGCTTAACATGGTCATTACCACTATTAAGGTGCCCATACACCTTACGACCATCGCAAGACTTTTGTCTTGCGATGGTCGTATGCTTCTTGAAAGCCCGTACGATCTGCCCACCTTGGACGGGCAGATCGTACTTGCGATCATCGAAAGCCCGCCACGCTGAGGGGCGGGCTTCCGATGACGGCAATGCAGAACGGGCAGTGTGCGCGTGCGCACACAGGCCCGTTCCGCAGCTATCGGGCGAGCAGGCTAGAAACCCGCCGAGAATCGTACGATTCTCGGCGGGTTTTCGAACATGTTGGCTTGACAAAAGACGTGCGACCGTACAGTAGAAACGGTCGCACGTCTTAGTTCACACTGCTCGATTCTCGTACGATCGCGGGATTTCGCCCGATTCTCGTACGAGAATCGAGCAGTGTATGGGCACCTTTATACACTCGGACAAAATTGGCTTCATGCCAAATCTTTTCACGGCTACCAATATATAAAACACACATTCAGGCCCTTATAGATGTTACTGGTAACAGGGCATTACTGGCTCTTGATGCTGTTAAAGCTGTTGACAGTATATTGTGACCTGGGAAATCCTTCTGTAGCTGGGTTCAATTGCTTGGAAAAATGGGCTCTTTTCGTGTAAATGGTATTCACTTATCTTCCTTTTCCATTGCCCTCTGTCACAGCTGCTTTTTGCCATGACTAAAAAAACCCTGGCTGGTCTACTGAATCAATCTTTGGGGGTGGTAGGTTTTCGTTGGGCCCAGTGTGAAGAAAAGGTGGCTCTCTATGCCAAAGAAATGTTTCCACTTCTGTCTGATACCCACTTTACCCTCTCCTGCGCCATGTTCCCTAATACTGTTTGGCAGATACTCAAGGTTACGCATTAATTGGGAAAAGTCTGTTACTCCCTTTGGACCCTTATGCGGATTCTCTTAGCCCGATGCTGTCACATATCAAACTCGCATCTCAAAAACATATCTTGGCGTACTGATCTCGAATCGAATTGCGGACTGCGTCTCTCTCAATCTCACCCTTGCTTGCTATATTTAATTCCCAATGCAAACTCTGTTGTACAATTTTTCTTCCTGTAGTTGGCCAAACTATCCTTTCGAAAATGATTTGGAGGCCCTACCTGCTTTACCATAACTCAGCTTGTTGGAAACTCTCTGCCTTGTTTTGGAGGGTCAATGCTAATATGGAAAAGTAAATTCCCTAGGATCAAACTGGAATATTTACAGTACCCCAAAGATACAGAGGGTCTCACGACCCCGAACCCCTGGGTCTACATCCTTGCTACTCAACTACTACACATAGCATAATGGGGACCCCTTGTGCAACTTTGATACCAGGACCTCCCACCTACCTTGTTGTGTAAAGGTAGGTGGGAGGTGGATGTAGGTCCTCATTCGGAGGTCTGGGAAGGACGTTTTGCAGTCTGCCCAACAGGTGTCACTCTCCATCTCACATAGATTTACTCAGCTCTTTATCCTACACAGGGTTTATCACACTCCTGAATTCCTTTGCAAAATAGGTGCTAGATCTGATCCCAATTGTGGTAGATGTGGTCACACGCAAGGCTCCCTTATTCATCTCTTATGAAGGTGTCCTAAATTGAAAAATTAAGTGTCAATCCTCTGGCTTGTATCCTCGGTTATTTGGAATCCTCCGAGTTCGATAAGTCTATATGTATTGGGCTCACTAGATCACTATTCGCTGCTAGGAGAATGATAGTAGTGACATGGATCTCTCCAAATCTGCCCACAGTTGCTTAATGGCTAGCTGAATTAAGAAAATGCATTTCCTATGAAAGACACGTGTATTTTTTATGCTATTCTATGCATAAATTCAAATACATCTGGTCTCGCTGGATAGATGTCCATGTCCTTTCTTTACCGTATAACTGAGAAGCTGGGTTCATATCTCTGTGGTTTTGGTAAATGGTTTAATGACTTGGTCTTGCTGCCTGGGGTTACGGGTTCTATTGTATTTCTCACTCAAGTTGGAATGTTTTCAAACTCCAGCTTATTACCATGCCTGCTTGCAATGCATGATGGTTTTCATCCTTGTAGCTCTGTTCCTTCTTCCTTTTCCTATCACATTGTGCATATGTTTACATTCCAGAATACGTTATACCAAATGTTGGGAGAAGATCACCCTTTAAAACTCACCATGTATTTAGAGAGCTATGTCCATCTGCACAGAGTCTGTCCGTCTCCCCCTGTTCAATACCCTCCCCACACCAAAAGCAAGTGTGCCAACGTCCTCCTCCGCCTCCTGGAGTCTAGAAAAGGAGGACCTCAGCTCCAAGGCTATGCACTGGCCACACTCAGCCTGCTGCTGACATATGAGTAAGTGAGAGTCTGATACCGGTGCTTGTAAATGTTAAACATGGAGAAATTATGGGGTGGATCTGATTGGATATAATATCAAAACAACTTCTTGTATATTACCTACCATATCTGTATTATAATGTCAACCCCATAGGCCCACTGTGTTGTATAGAATATATAAATGCACACAGTTTCCGAGGACTTTGGTGGTACTCTTACCTCATGAGATACTCCACAGATATCATCTACCTGGGTTCCGCCTGATGCGTTGTCCTAACTGTAAAAGTGATGCCACTGGGACATTATCCAAGCTATCACTATTTGTCCTCACTTGCTTTGTACTTAATGTGGGAGTTTACCCTAGAAATCATCAGTGAACTTTAAACAGTCATGTAACACATGTACCTGCATAAATGGATAGCACCATGTTTGATTTCTGTCCACGATCCGGGTTGCCCAGCAATCGGCATTGCAAACAGACGGTATCTGTATCTCTATAGGTTGGACTCGATGGACTTGTGTCTTTTTTCATCCTGACTAACTATGTAATGGTGATTTACCAGTGATATCAAGCAACTCACACTTTGTGCTATCTGTGTCTTTGACAGCATGAGGCACAGAGAAAGTATTTCCTAGTCAGGCTTTACAATCACAAGATGTACATACTATGGGAGGGCTGAGGGACACCATGGGTTGCATGGTGTTACTGGTAAATGGCTGCTTGTTTCCAATGCTAATTACTGGACAGAAGTCATCGTGCTATGTATTTATCAAGGTACATGCGTTATATGGCTCTTTAAGTTAACTGATGAGTGTGAACTTCCACATTAAATATCAGGATCTGCATTAATGGGAGTTCAGACAGATCCCATTTTGACCCTTATTTGTATTATCTAATTCTTGGGTTCTATTTATTGAAAGTTCTGTGAACCTTACATGATAGGGGGAAGTGTTCCATTTTTGTCATGACTTTGTTTTTATGGGTTTGGGTTGGGGCTAGGT